ATGAGCGTTCCCGGAACGTTAGATAAGAGAATTAAAGTGTAAATATTAGAGTAAAATAAGAACTATATTTTAAATCACTAAAAAGGAAAATAAGAACTATATCTTAATATTTAGGGACGGAATGAGTATACAACAAAGTTACAGAACAATTGATGATAATAATGAAAGTTATACATTGACATGTGCGTTAGCTAAAGTGATACACGATTTAAATACTGCATACAACCGGGTAGAAATTTTAATGCATTTTGTATTTCAATCCCAGAATATCTTTTGTCTCCAAATTTACACTCAAAAGTACCTTAAAAAAAGAGTTGTTTCATGTAACTTGATGATGCAATAGCGTTTAGGGTGGAACTTGATTTAGGAAATGTTGTTGATCTAACACTTAGCTACCACGGCTGAATGCTTTTTTGTTTTTGGCATCTTTTGTACGAATAATCTTGATAGCAACGTCCCAACAATTATTTGGTGAATTTATAATGTTAAATATTTATCATCTCATATTATTTCCATTTATTAGTAGTATTACTTAACTAACATACTATGTAGATTGTAGACTACTTTTGGTAAAGCCCAACATTTAATTACAAATTTACAATTTGTCATGTGCTTGCATCATACCTAAACTAATTGCAACAACTACTTTCTTTGTTGTTTCCTTAAGATTTTATTATATTTAGTTGATAGATTAAAACTTGATAGAATGATACGGAGTATTAAAATAATTACAACACAACGGTTTAGATATTATAAAAAGAGTTACATTCTTTACAATACAATCACTAGTAATTTATCTAAGAAAAATTGAAGTGTTAAGAATAATAACAATGGATGTACTATGACCTTGTTTGGTAAAGATTAATTTTTAAAAAGTTCTTAGTTCGCTTATTAAGTCCTTTCAGAATTTTGATCAAATAAAAAATTTAATTTGAATGTTTAGTAAATAGGTAATTGGAAAAAAAAATAGTTTAATTAAAAAGCTCTTTATGAAAAAGATTAACAAGGAGATTCAATAATAACTTATTGAACATACATATAATAACTAAAATAGTTAATACTCCGTAATATATAATTACTTATAAGAGTTATTTACCAAATTCTTTTACAACTGACTAGTCAAACTAACTAATATAACCAACTAATTACCAAACAGGGTCAGATGTTTTATGGTGTAGGCCACATTTGTTGGACATACTAATAGTACTTCCTAGCTTCAATGTTTATCCTCATTTTATTATAATAATACATCGAATTTTGGCATTGATACATCACCTTAGGGGGTGAACCGTATTAGTAGACAGGATCCGCCCCTCGCCCAAAGTTTGGAGATGGAGGCGGAGCCATAAATAACACATAAATCGTCTATATAATGATTGATGCAGCTTGAAACAGCAATGCATGCACAAGAAGCGAGGAATGGAGAGCGAGCTGCAGCAGCATGGAAGGAAGGCAGAGACTAGATGATCAAGGAACAGAAGTAAAAGGGCACAAACAGAGTTTTTGGGCAAAACATCCTACTACAACCAGCAGATACGCGATCCACATCCACTTTGGACTGCGAGCCATGCATTGCTTCAGTCTGCAATAATAATGATAATGTTCGTTATCATCAAATTAAATCAGACCAGCAATTCAATTGAAGCTACCAATTATAACCCTGCCCTCATTAACTTGCTTCCTGCCCTATTCAAAGCTTTTGTGCTTGTATTAATATCCCAATGAAATACCCCATATTGCCCATCTCTTTGCCAACTATTGCAACCCGAAGAACTTTGTAGAATTGTACTGTAAAAATAAAAATAAACATGTTTGCAATACACAAATTTTTATATGCGGCCTGTTGTACCGTGCGGCAGGCGTTACTTGAATTTCTCGGTCAGGGGTTACTCGAGTTTCCTGGGTTACTTGAGTTTCTCGGTCATGGGTTACTCGAGTTTTTCAATCATGGGTTACTCGAGTTTCTCGGTCATGGGTTACTCGAGTCACAATTTTTTGAATGCGGCCTGACCGAGAAACTCAAATAACCCCTGAATGAGTAACCCTTAATCGAGTGAAACCCTTTTGTAACTCCTATTTGAACCCTTCAAGACCCTTAATCGAGTGAAACCCTCTTGTAACTCCTATTCGAACCCCTCAAGTAACCCCTAATCGACTAACTCAAGCAACCCCTGACTGAAAAATTCAGATAACCCCTGACCGAGAAACTCAAGTAATTCTTGACTGAAAAACTCAAGTAATCTTAAACGAGTAACTCAAGTAACCCTTGACTGAAAAACTCAGGTAACCTTAACAAAAAAAACTCAAGTAACCCCTGCAGCATGGTGTGGCCCGCTAGACCAAAAAATTATTGTTTGCAATATATTATATATCATTGGATTATTCTCAATATATACTTTTCATAATATCAGCGCGACGTTTTGTAATTTTTACTATACACATACAAATATTATTGTTTAAAGTTATGACTTGGCAAAAGTAGCGATCAAGTTATTTTCTTAAATTTTTATTTTTTCACACTATACTTTTTTATTATTTTCTTGTCTCGCATACAATTATGAAAAAAAAAACAAAAATAATCAAAGGCACGAACAGTATATTTACATTGACAACTAAAGAACAGAATTTTGGCATCTAGAATATAGAATCAGCAATCACGTCAGTACGTCACCCATCAATTAGAATTAACCACTTACGTTTTGATTTAGACTCTACATTAAATCAAGGAAGAAATTAATCCATAATTAAGTTTTTTTTTTTTAATTTTTTTTTAATTTTTTTTTTTTTTTTTTTTGCTTGGAAAGTTGGAAGATGAAGTTTCCCGAGTATTTTTTTCAAAGATAGTACAACGCATGTTTAAACCTTTGAAAATTATATTCCTCGTATTTAACTATTTAACTAATTTAAGGATCAGGTTTTTTTTTATTTTTTATTTCAAATACGTAGAGAGTAGTATTATGAAAATAATACATATATATCATCATAATACCTATTTGCTTGCAAATTTTATCATAATAAAAAGCTATATGCATGCCATGCAGCACTCACATATACATGCACATTGTTTTAATTTTAGGTTCAGCTTTAAAAATCACATTTATTATAAAGAATTTTAGATATATAAATTCAACTCGATAGACAAGGTACTAGTTATACAAAGTTATATTCCGTTTCATAAAAATTCGAACTTTATGGGACAATATTTTGTATAATGATACACCGTATCTGGCGTATCAAAGTGCTACTTCTACAAGAAAGAAATTATTGAATAAAATTCACTTTTTTTACTTCCTGGAAATTTTTCCAAACCACCGTGTAGAAGGGTTAAAATTGTGCCATCAATTTTCATCCAAATTCAGACGTTTTAATAATTTATAAGCATACCTTCAAAAGTAGGACCATAATTCTTATTTATTCAGCTTTCCATAAATTATGAATAAAAATGGCGAGAAAATAGGACACATTTCCCAAAGCATTGCGTCTACGGCAGTGTGACATGCACTTAAGTAGAAGAAAGGAAAGAGTTGATGTATCTATAGATGCTTCTTATCTTGCATTCCTAGGCTTTTTTATAGCAGTAAATCAGCCAATTCAAGATAAACAAACTTACACATCAAAGCATTTACCTATGCAATATAGGCAGATTTATGAGAGGTACCTATTCAATAGGGGTCGTTTTGCTTTAGTAAAAAAATCAAATTAAACTTTAACCTTGTAGTCTAAAGAATCACTTCATATTGTTAGAGGATACAAGTGCAAGAACTCTATTAGTATTATGGCATGCATGGAAGTAAAATAAATTAATTAGTACCTACTTTTTGAAAAATAATCACGTAAAACCTAACATTAATTTAGTACGGAGTATTTCTATCTACAACTTATAAGTGATATATGAATTAAAGTATCCATCAATTTTATACATACCTTAGTCATATTCTGATCTCGCTCTTTTTTCAATCTTTCAAAACAATTAGCTCCAACCCACATGTGGTATTTTCTTTATTGTTTATCAAAATAGAGTTATCGAAGCTAGTTTATTGTATAGTTTGACCCTAACTAAATTTAATTACCAAGTGTTTTCCAGGTTTTTTTTTAAATCCTCGCAATATTTTAATTTTACATAAAACTGTTTGCATACTAACTTTAACCACATGATTTTATTATTTTTATATACAAATATAAAATAATTAAAGTGTCACAATTTTAAAATATTTATATAAAAAAAAAATCCGATCCTAATTACAATATATACACGAGTACCAAATAATTTAGTTGGCAACCGATGCCAATCTACAAACTTCTACTCGTATGTTATTATACAGATGTAACTCCCTTATTTGTTATGTCCACTTCTAGTAGCTCTTATCAATGTCATAATACTTAAATATTTTTATGTTACAACCAATCTTTTTAACCTATGCATTTGTATTAATGTTATCCCTCCCCCACCCCCCATCTTTTTTGGGATACATGCATGCAGTAAATTTTAGGATATATAGCCAATTCAAAGCACATAAAATTTTTCTTTTATAACGACTCGAATCTTATTAAACTATTTAATTAAGACTCTAGAGAAAAGATAAGAAAATCCTCATTTCTAATTAAATATAAGTAGATGCTGAGACTCGAACATAAGCTTGTGATCGGTACGTAAGCACATAGCAAATTAACCCTCAAATCCACAATAGTATAAGTCGCTGGAGTACACAAGCAGTCATAACAATGTGTTGGTCAACATTTCCAACTAATAAAAGAAAAAAAAAAAAGTTTAACTATAACAAGAAAACAAATTATTAGTTTCGTATTATTCATAAAAAAAAACCAAGATTAGAATGCCAACCCTACCAAACCAAGATAACTAAAATCACAAACTAACATCTAATACATGTCATCAATTTTATTTTTATTATCAAGGCTAGTGACCAACCTCACCCATACCCAAATAATATTCATCACATACTAATTAATTTCCAAGATATAAGGAAAACAAATTAAATACTCATGCAATTAAGAAAAACTTATATAAGAGATTTGAGCCAATTCTCCTATTTCTCACTCTTGTTAAAGAAGCTTGCTTAATTAAACACCCAATCCAGCTGCTCCATTATTTTGCCCATCTTCTTATATATGCAAAAACTCATGCTTTTTTGAAACCTCAACTTACCCACATTTTACTCTTTCTCACACATATTCTCTTCACCTTCAGTTCTTACTCTTAACAAAACCCAACTATCAACATGGTTAGTCATGCATTACCAATAAAACTCGCTCTATCTTTCTCTTCTTCTTCTTTTTCCTCGCATATAATATTTCTCTTTATCTGGATTTATTAGTTACGCTGATACTGTAATTTGAACTAGCAGTGTAACAACTAAGTCTAGATAAGATGGAGAAATTCAAATAGTCAAAACTCATTTGTAACAATATCTTTTTTTTTGTTTTTGTTTGTGGTTGATGTAGGTTAATGAAAACGGAGAAAACGGGGTGACAAAATTCTACACCAACGGACACACTACGTTCGATCTCAACGTGAAACAAGTAGGAGAACCAACATTGGTACAACCAGCAGAGGAAACTCCAAAGGGTTTATACTTCCTATCAAACTTAGACCAAAACATCGCGGTCATTGTACGTACAATATATTGCTTTAAGTCAGAGGAAAAGGGAAATGAGTTAGCAGGAGAAGTGCTAAAGGAGGCACTTTCTAAGGTGTTGGTGCACTTCTACCCTTTGGCTGGACGGCTAACCATTAGCCCTCAAGGGAAGCTCATCATAGATTGCACCAACGATGGCACCCAAGGCGCGGTTTTCGTGGAGGCCGAGGCCGATTGTAACGTGGATGAAATTGGTGACTCTACTAAGCCTGACCCTATTACTCTTGGAAAATTGGTTTATGATATTCCTGGTGCTAAAAATATCCTTGAAATTCCTCCTCTTGTTTCTCAGGTTTGTTTAACTTCCTTTTTAATTATTTTTACCTAGCTCATTTTTCACATTTTTTTTATTTAATTATGTCCAATTAATATATTAATTAGCAGATAATAAATATTAATATTTGAAAATAAAACGTAGATATAATATGAAGATATAGATATACGTACATTTTCCTAGCCAGGACCACTAATATTCAAGCCTTTGGAACCTAGTAAGGAACTTATTTTTGTAAAAAAAAAAAAAATATTACCTGTTTTTGCGATTTTTTTTTACATCTAGCAAAAGACACGACTTGGTTATTCACAATTTTTTTTTTCAAATTAACCTTTATTTAAGGTTATACACAAGTTTTTAGAAATTATTACTCCGTAATTATTACCAGAGTTGTCTTGCTTGAACATTTTGGGTTATGACAGTACGAGCAACTGAGACTCTCATTATCTCATACGGAGTACTAGTCATTTATAGTATTTTATGGAAATTAAAGAAGAGAAATTTAAATTAATTTGCTTTAAATGGAAGAATGAAAGTTGGAAGATTAAATTGAGAGCGTAGGTATGGGAAAGTCAAAGACCGTAATAAAAAACATTTAAGGATAGCACATTAATGGGAGAGAGACACATAATTAATTAGACATTCATTTTAATAATGATTAATGAAAGTTGAACTTTAAACTAATGGATTTGTTAGATTTTGGGCCCATTCTAAAGCCCAACTTTCATGCTACAACCACAACACATTATTAGTCACAAAATGATTTGGAGTCGGGTAACATGAATCATCATAAAGAACCATTAGAAAAGAACAATAGCATGACGAGGTAATCATAATAAATAAAGATAATTTAGTAGTACAAAATTGACAATTTCTTATGGTTGATGAATGAATGAACAGGTGACAAAGTTCAAGTGTGGAGGGTTTACACTAGGCCTATGCATGAACCATTGTATGTTTGATGGAATAGCAGCCATGGAATTCGTAAACTCGTGGGGCGAAACAGCCCGAGGACTATCCCTTAACATAACACCCTTCCTAGACAGGGCAATCCTAAACACGCGAGACCCCCCTAAGGTTGAGTTCAAGCACCAAGAATTCGAGGAAATTGAGGACATCTCTGGCACCAGTAACTTGTACAATGAGGAAATGCAATACCGGTCATTCTGTTTTGAACCAAAACACTTAGAGAAGCTTAAGGCGAAAGCAATGGAAGATGGAACCTTAAAGAAATGCACAACTTTTGAAGCACTCTCAGCATTTGTGTGGAGGGCTAGAAGCAAGGCACTTCAGATGGAGCCTGATCAAAAGACTAAGCTACTTTTCGCGGTTGATGGCAGATCAAAATTTAATCCTCCTCTACCAAAAGGGTACTTTGGAAATGGAATTGTCCTCACAAACTCTATCTGCCCTGCAGGGGAACTGATAGACAATAACCTGTCTTACGGCGTAAAGCAAGTACAAGAGGCCATCAAAATGGTTACCGATGACTACATGAGATCAGCAATTGATTATTTCGAAACAACAAGAGCAAGGCCTTCTTTGAGCTCAACTCTTTTGATCACTACTTGGTCTAGACTGTCATTTCATACCACAGATTTCGGGTGGGGTGAGCCGGTTATATCAGGACCTGTAGCACTGCCTGAGAAAGAGGTTATACTGTTTCTGTCTCATGGAAATGAGAGAAAATCTATCAATGTGCTACTGGGATTGCCTGTTTCGGCCATGAAACGTTTCGCAGACCAGCTGCAAGAGGCTGATTAAAGCTAAATTCAGAGGAATATATACATATATTTGGGAAATTATATATCTGTTACAATTTTTATTATAAAGTTGATCTGTTGATCATCAGTTTATTATTGTCATTCTACTGATAGTATTTATATTGTTTGTCTAGTACTAGTGGTATGATATTGTTTGTCCTCTGTTAAATATTGAATTTTTAGGTCATTTTATTTTCATGGAAAAATGTTGATGAGTGATGACCAACAAGTTGGAAATAAAGTTATTGTCATTTTATGTTTTTGTCAAGATGTTTAGTGCAGAAATTGGTATGATGTGATTTATTTTTGTAATTGGTGTACTAATTTTCATGTAAGTTGGAGTAGGTTTGCCATGTTATATGATATAAATTTGCTGATTAAGACTCATTCTTTAATTCAAAATGATGCAAAAGTTTATAAATAAACACGTTTAATTATGTGTATGTGATTTAGGTGTAGATGAAGTCCTTATGATGATGATCGAGTCTAGGGGAGTAGATGTAGTCGAAATTAAACATTTAAATGCACCTATTTAAATGTGACAAATTCTCGTAAAGAGAATTGAATCGCATATCGCATGGAAAAAACACTATCGTAAAAGATATTATTAGCTACCTTGGTGCAATAGAACCAAAAGACATCTAAATAATATTGCTATACCATTTAAAAAGATTGGGCCTTAAAAATAAATATAATGGACTCTTTATCATGATAATTAGATCAAGGGGAATTAAACAATATAATTAAATGCACCTATTAACGTGACAAATAAAGAGAGTCGAATCAACAAATAAGGACATTGTTATGCATTATTCCATGTGGGACAAAAGTTTTCTCTTTTCTTTTTCTCACTCTTTTGCAGTGGATTTTCTTTGAATTTCATATGAACTTCCAACAACTAAATGTCAATGATAATCATCCATAAATTTTGTTTTCCTGAATATGATAGATGAAATCCGTCTTCTTCACTTGTGCATGAGCTTTCCAAACGTCTATCAATTTCCCATGTTTAATACGGAGCAGATATATTCAAACTGTTTTAAAATGAGATTCTCACTTTCTATTTTAAGGTCGAAATTTCTATCAACTAAACATATGATGAGGCCAAAACCTCTTAAATTTCTCAAAAAACGTGGATATTAGCCTTTAATTTTGGAATTTTTTTGACTTTTTTTCACCTGAAAATAAAATTGTCGAAATATTTACCATTGTCCCTAATATCCTCCGGGAGTCCAATTGGCTGGGTAGAACCATCGCAATTTGCCTTTAAACAACCAATTTACCGGTTTACAACTTGCACCGATTTCATTAATTCAATCTTACCACAAACATTTATGACAACATATAATGATCATATATGGATACAAACGGCATTATATAACCTCGATTTGTAACCCCTAAAATCTCAACGCATTTCGACACCGAGCCCCGAAACATTCGAAATTTCTGGAAAAAGTGTGGATATTAGCCTTCAATTTTGGAATTTTTTGACTTTTTTCGCCCGAATATAAAAATTGCCGAAATATTTACCATGGTTCCAAATACCCTCCGAGAGTCCAATTGGGTAGGTGGAACCATCCAATTTTCCTTTAAACGATCAATTTACCGGTTTACAACTTATACCGATTTCATAAACTCAAGCCTACCATGAACATTTATGACAACATATGATGATTATATATGATTCCAAACGGCATTATATGACCACGAGATATATCCCTTAAATTTTCCACGCTTTTCAACGCCGGGCAATGAAATCTAAAAATTTTCTCAAAAAGCGTGTATATTAGCCTTCAATTTTGGAATTTTTTGACTTTTTTTGCCTGTAAATAAATTTTTTTGAAATGTTTACCATGGTCCCTAATATCCTTCGGGAGTCCAATTGGGTGGGTGGAACCATCCAATTTGCCTTTAAACAACCAATTTACCGGTTTACTACTTGCACCGATTTCATTAACACTACAAGAAAACAGCGAAATTGCGACGGAAAAAGTTCGTCGTAATATATGTCAATTCCGTCGTAAAGTAGGGTTACGACGGAATTCCGTCGTTAGTGGTCGTCGAAAAACCCTTTGTAGGAAATTGGCCATATTCCGACGGAATTTCCGTCGTAAACCTACTTTACGACGGAATCTACGACGGAAAAAATATCGTAGGACTTGAATTTGGCCTTTATTGAAGATCTGTCGCAAGCTTCCGACGTAATTAGATCCGTCGCAAACTATAGTTTACGACGGAATTTTCTGTCGTAATGTATAATTTACGATGGAAAAAAGCCTCGCAAACTACAATTTACGACGGAAATATGCAACGCAAAAAACTATTTGCGACGGAAAAAAACGTCGCAAGTAACAATTTACGACGGAATATGCATCGCAAATATTTATTTGCGACGGAAAATTCCCTCGTAAATTGTTACTTGCGACGCTTTTTTCCGTCGCAAATAGTTTTTTGCGATGCATATTTCCGTCGTAAATAAATATTTGTGATGCATATTTCCGTCGTAAATAGTTATTTGCGATGCGTATTTCCGTCGTAATTATTACTTTACGAGGCATTTTTCCGTCGTAATTTTTAGTTCTAGCCCGTAAGAACTTCCTGTAAGAATATGCATTGCCAAACCTGAATTTTTTTTATGATAAATCGACATAAAAAAAAAGCATTTGAAAACCTGAAATTGTTGTTTTAAAAAAATTAATTACTGACCTACAAAATTATATTTATTTACATATATATATAATAATTATGTCCTAGTACAAAAGATAGTCCACATTATGGTATCTATATCAAACAAAATCTAGGTTAGAGTGATTCTATGCTAGACTAAAGCTAAGCTACGCAATCGCCTAGAAACCCTGGCCTGCTCCACCACTACCCGGGTCGTCCTTGGGTCTCGATGCTGAGGATGAATGGTGGAACATGAGTCGTTGTTGGTGAGACGACTCATCATCTCATCCATAATCTCCTTGTATCTCCTCTCCATTTCAGTCATTCGGGCTTCCATTTGAGTTTGGAGAGCTTGCACCCTGTGTTCCATCTGGTCTTGCATTTGAGAAATGATAGACGGCGTGTATTGCTGTGAAGAACGGGAACCTCGACCCATCTGTTTGCCATAGTAGAGCTTTGCACTTTGGACAAGTCCCTTCACACGCCCCTTCTTATTGCGCCCACCCACCGACTCCCAGTACAACTCATTGGGACTCTTCTGAATCCCCTGACTCCTTGTTTCTTCGAGCTTCTTCTGGTCGGTCTCCTACAAAATATTGAAGATAATAAAAAATATTGTTAAAAAAACAACCAACAATATAAGGTAAGGTATCTTTCTTCTAACATTCCAATATCACATACTTTTAGGTGCCTAAGGATAGAAATAAAGAGAAATAAGCACATAAGTCAATTTTCGACCCTAACTCATCCAAAATCATCCTAATTTGGCCTATATGGCTAAAACCATGCCTATTTTCTATGTTTTCAAGCAAATGGACTTGTTCTTTCTTCTAACATTCCAATATCAATTTCTTTTAAGTGCCTAAGGATAGAAATTAAGAAAAATAAGCACATAAGTCAATTTTCAACCCTAACTCATCCAAAATCATCCAAATTTGGGCTATATGGCTAAAACCATGCCTATTTTCTATGTTTTCAAGCAAATGGACTCGTTCTTTCTTCTAACATTCCAATATCACATACTTTTAAGTGTCTAAGGATAGAAATTAAGAAAAATAAGCACATAAGTCAATTTTCAACCCTAACTCATCCAAAATCATCCAAATTTGGGCTATATGGCTAAAACCATGCCTATTTTCTATGTTTTCAAGCAAATGGACTCGTTCTTTCTTCTAACATTCCAATATCACATACTTTTAAGTGCCTAAGGATAGAAATTAAGAGAATTAAGCACATATGTCAAATATTGACCCTAACTCATCCAAAATCATCCAATTTTGGGCTATATGGCTAAAACCATGCCTATTTTCTATGTTTTCAAGCAAATGGACTCGTTCTTTCTTCTAACATTCCAATATCACATACTTTTAAGTTCCTAAGGATAGAAATTAAGAGAAATAAGCACATATGTCAAATATCGACCCTAACTCATCCAAAATCATCCAAATTTGGCCTATATGGCTAAAACCATGCCTATTTTCTATGTTTTTAAGCAAATAGACTCGTTCTTTCTTCTAACATTCCTATCACATACTTTTAAGTGCTTAAGGATAGAATTCCCAACCTTCCTTTTGTACATCCAGCTACGTTCTTTTCGTTTCATGATTACAAGTTCTACACAACTAACACATATGCCATTAATCACATTGGTCATAAAGCACAATATATAATCATTATAGATCAAACTGTTATGGAAATGGAAATGAGAAGAGAAATGATTTCCAAGGGTCCTTATCACTCCAACCTAACCCATCATTGTACGTTCAATCTCACTAGTGCATGTATGCCAGAATTTCAATTCTATGGAAAATCCGGCAGCATCTCCCTACAGTTCCCCTAAGTACACAATATAGGCGATTAGAAACACCTATATATGTACCTAGAGAACATTGTAAAGAAATGAAAAGCAAGGATCTTCCTTAGAATTAAAACAAAGGAATACATTCACCACCTAAGTGAGAATAAACGTACAAAGACAGTCCCAACCGGGGACTATTCAAGACATACTCCTAATGTGTATGCCTTGAACGGGTATCTAGGCATATGATTATGCAAATGATTTATTTAAAGATATTAAAACTAAACTAACATACAAAAAATTATACAAATATATCATAATTAAACTTAACATAAACAAACATATCATAAAACCATAACATTAATATAAACAAATCAAACAAAAAAAAACCAAACTAAACTAACATATCATAATATTAAATATAGTAACATGCATTATAAAAAATTAAACTTAAGTAAGAAACATTATATTAAACTAAACAAAACTAAACTAGATTATAATGAACTAAAGTAATCTAACATATACCCAACACATCATATTAAACAAAACAAACAAAACGTACCTAAAGTTTCATAATATTAAACTAATCTAATATACTTTAGTAAAACTAAACTAAATTAAACCACATTATATTAAAATAAACTAAACTAAAGTTTCATAACATTAAACTAATCTAATATACTTTAGTAAAACTAAACTAAATTAAACCACATTATATTAAAATAAACTAAACTAAACTAACATACAAATTTTACAAATCCTACATACAAAATATTTAAAAAAAATAATTAAATAAAATAAATAAGGGTTTATTATTAAAAAAAATTAAAAAAAAAAATTGG